CCCCAAAACCCCAAAACCCCGCACTTAGTAATAATTACGATCAGTTGATTTTCTATAATTTAGGTCAATATTTAAAATATTTAACAAATTTCTATTTCAAAACACAAATGAATTCTAAATATAAACAATTTATCAAAAGCCTAGCTCTGAAAGGTTGCTACATTCATAAATTTAATAAATAGCGCTTTCTATCTGATATAAACACTTAATTATCTTAGCGAGGAGATTAAAATTGCTCTTCATTGTACTAATATCTACCTAACTTTGAATTAGGCTAAACCTATATCCCAGATAAAATACAACTTGAATATCTAGAGGAGGAACCAGGACTAGATGTAGCTGATGAAGATGATACTTAAATCTCTGAATCTTCGCTTAATCTCACAATTGAATTATCCTATGTAGCTTCATGATTCCTGCTACTAAATGACTTTGATTCTCCCAATTATCTGACTGTAATTGGTCCAAATTGATTCTAAGGTTATCGAAGAGTTGATAAAGGCTATTATCTCTTCATAATCCATCCCTCAATCACTTTGTTTCCTTTAATCATTTGATTGATTGATAACTTCTATTTGATTTAGTGTTCAACAATATTATGATAGACTGGAGTGAAGTATTTTATTTCTTAGTCTATCTATTCGTTTAAGACCTATATCTTTCTCTTTTCATTACTTCTATGTCTTTTAACCTTTTTTAAAACTTTAACTCTTTTGTCTTTAAGTTCAGTTGAATATTATTTTTTCTATATATATAATGAGCTAATAAGTAAGATTACCAATTAATGATTTATTTCTTGTGGAATTTCTCTCCCTGTTTTTTAAATGAATTCTTTATTTTACTTGATGAATGAATTCTTCAAAGATAAGTTTGCTAGCTATTATACAAAAATCTGCTTATGCAAAATTTCCTTTCTTGTTTATTCAATTTGATCTTTGGAGAGAATCGTGTCTTAAGTTTTAGGAACTAAAAATTGTGCAGACTATTCTATAGACTTATTAGCACTTAGATTTGTATTCTTTTTCTCTTTCACTGACATACAATTAATAAATGATTTAGATCTTGTCTCCTATTTAAATTTGCTTGGACTAATAAGTATGTTAAAGAGAGAAATGCTTTTATTGTTGATGACTTCTTCAATTATGATTTTTAGAGGGTCGTAAAACCAATATGACTAAGAAAGCTTTCTTAAGCGGAATTCCTAAGGTATCTTAAAATAATTTCTCTCTTTTTCATAAATAGTTTTTTTTAAGTTTTCTCTGCTGATATAGAGCTTTTTCAAGCAAAATTTGATATTGCTATACTTATTTGTGCTCTTCATTCTCTTAAAGATTTCAATGACTTTTAGTTGATTTATTTGATTCCTAATTTTATTTTGATTTTATACACAACTATTCAATTCATTCACATATGATGGCTCTTCATCCCTTGAATCATCGGATTCGTCAAGAATTTCATTTATAGGTTTGTTATTAGGAATACTTAGCTTGTTAATATAAAGATTTTTATAGGTTAGATAGATTGATCTAAGGAAGGTTTCTAATACTGATGTTCTCCTATGACATGCTTCGTAAGAAATTTTCATTTTTATCCTCATCAACTTATACATTCCTATTAACCTTAAGTTAAAATTTATTTACTTATTTAGGCTTCAATATCTGCTAATGCTTTTTTGGAGAAGTAACTCATATCTATTGGGAAATTAGGAAACTTTGCTTCGAAACCATTTTTAATGTTTTTACTCTCATTCTAGATCTCAGGGCAAAAGCTATTTTCTAGTGATCCGACTCTTGTCGATTTATCACCTTAATCATATTATCTTGAGGAAATAAATGACTGATCTTGAGAAATTGAATTTGATAAGTTAGCTTAATTATTTGGTATTTACTTCGAAACAGATTTCTTTAACTTGCTCATTTTTGATTGCAATTTGTTTTATTGCTGATACTTCCTCTTGAGATCTCTTTTAAGTTACTTGACTTATTATAAATTACTCATCAAAAGTTGAACGACTGAAATAACCTAAAAAATTTGTTGATTATCTTTTATCACAAAATCGACAGTCCTATTTAATGTTTTAAAGCTCAAGCATTGCCAGGCATAAAATGGCAATTAAGAATCAGGTCTTTTTATCATCTACTTAGTAAGAGAATCTTTCTATCTATCGAAAGTTGATGTTTATGCACCAAATAAAACTCCATCGAACTCTTTAATAAGCACTATAAGATTAAAATTTAAGAACTTAATTTAATAGTAGTTTTGCAAAATAATTTACTTTTGCTAATTTTTGGAGGTTAGCGATGAATTTTGTCATGATATTCCCATATTAGGTAATTCAAATCATTTGATATTTTTATTTAGCATTTCTGTTTATTGCTAGTCGAATAATGATACTTAATTGCAGGTATTCCAACTTAGATTAAGATATCAAAGCTGGCTTCCAGAAATTGATTAAAATCAGGTTTTTCAATTATATTTGTACTGGAGAATTATTTGCTAATTTCTTCATTAAAATCATTTTGATTAAGTTATTAATTACTTCTATTATCGATTTCGGTTTTTTTCTTAAAGCAAGGGGTTAACTCGCATTAATTACTAATTTATAGGTTTTGAATGCCACTATGAGACTTTAAACTGTTGGCAATCTGAGATTGTTGATAGTCTGATGATAGTGCTCCTTATTTTTCATTTTTCCTCAATTAAAGGTCAATACTTTTATTGAGTATAAATTTGCTGTTTATCTACTGTGAATTTTACATTTGCGATTATTCCGAAGTTTCACAATTTATTAGTTTTGTGTCATTATGCTCTGTCTTAGAATCCATTTATGAACTGGAGCTCTCTTTTGATGCTATATTTTTTATACTATTTGATCTCTGATTGCTTGGTTGAGAATTGTAAGTTTCGACAGAAATCTGTGCATTATATAACTCATTAATGGCTGATTCATTTATTATAAGACCTAGATATGAGAATCTCTTCCCTTATATACGATTTGATCTTTATTTTGACTGATTGCTACTGCCTTAAGTTTCAGTCTTCACATTGTTTGCAACTTTTATCTCAGGAAAATCTATACCTCATTTTTATGGATGAAAATTCTTACATTCAAGTTTTGGAGAAGATTATTTTGATGTGTTAAGCTCGTTTCCATGCTTCTAAAATATATTTTTGAACCTTCTTTTCATTATAATGCAAATTAGTGTACTGAATGGAAAATTAAAAACTTTTAAAGGATGATTATAAAATAATTTTAGGAAATATATATTAATCAGTCTTCATGATTTTTTATGATCACATTTATTTATACACTTCTATTAATTACGATTATAAACTGATAGTTTCCGCCTGGGGTTTTGGGGTTTTGGGG